TTGGTACCAGAGTTATCAAGTCAGTGGACTTGTGAGCCTTTTGGGTGATACCAGGGTTTACAATGTCATATGTCATCTCCCAGTCAGATTATACTGGCTCCTTCTGCCAGGATCTAGAGGGTTGCACTTCCCCAGGCGAAGAGCAGAATTGACACCTTCTGCAGTTTTTAACACAGCTGGTTCTATCTAGGGTCAAACAGTTAGTATTAATGCTGGACAAAAATAAAAATTCATATCCCCAGGCCCTGATCTGAAGGAGGAAGAGAGCAAAAGATCCAGTGCAGAAACGCCCAAGCTTCTTTCTTCTACAGGATCTGGAACGGCTAGCCTTGGAAGAACAAATTTTGAAGAGGAAATAGATGCTCCTTAGATATATTTTAGAACCATTACAATCTTTGAGAATCAAGAGAAGAGGAAAAATAGCATCATGAAATATCCAGGATTATGTACAAAATGGTAACAGTAACCTTCACATATAATAATGACATACTGCTTATGCTTATAGCTTTTAATGTCACAGAAGTGATCATAAATTGGAGACATATCAGTGTTTTTCACCATTCACCAGCACAGAAGAAATTGTCATTATCTAGAACACTTAAAAAAAAGTTAGCAAGTATGACTAATACACAATGAAAACAGAACGTATTTTCGTAAATAATCTCAAAGCTGTAATTGTAATATTTATTGAGTCACAGAGTGATAATTATTACTATTAGTTACAAGGGATATTTGAATCTCCAAAACCATCCTTATTTTCTTTAGGAACATGAATTCTTCCCTCCAAAGAATATTGTCTGATGGTACTGTCAGATAATCTCCCAAAAGAGAATTGAGGAAAGAAACAAAGACACTGAAGATACATAGAAGTGATTTCTTTCCAGAAGAGGCACTCTTAGCAGGCAGTCGTCAGAATTTAGACAGTTTCATAGTCCTTCTTCCTATGCAATATCATTGTGCACTCACATGTGTATACATATCCCGCTGCTTTGATTTTCTTTCTCTAATGCACAGATTTTTTTTAACATTCTCATTGCCCTCATATTGGAGATTACTAATAGCTAATTCTCTAGTGACTTGTCAGAGACTATATATTACACAGGGGGGAGATTGCCCAACTTTTTTCCAAAGTACTGGTAGATTTGAACCAACAGAAAGGTAACACCTTTGAATTAGCAGTACAACTCCCTGTAGACTGTCACTAGAGCTCCAAATGCATAGATATAGGCATTGAATATTCAAGTTGATAATTCTAAAAATGTAACATAACTACCTACTTTGTACCACTTTATGAAATAACATACCACCACCTGTGAAGTAGACTTCATATCTAAAAATAAAATATAAATCTGACCCAGGTAGATTCCACTCTAATTTACAGAAAACACAGAGTACAAAGAAACATGTTAAACTGTACTATGGTGGTTAAATAGGAAAAATATAGATTGCAGTAAATTCCGTAAGAAAAATGACACACTTTCTCCCACAAATTAAGAGACAGAAAAGGGGCAGGGAGTGAAGACAGGAAGGAACAAAGAAATATTTTATTCAAAGATACTAAGAAGATTAAATAACCAATTATGATTGTGAGCCTTATTTGGATTCTGATTTCTAAAGACCTATAAATACTATATTTGTGAGATAATTGGGTATTTCAGTGCTGACTGAACATTTGATGAACTTCAGGAATTGTTAAAGTTTTTGTTATAATAATGGCACTGAAGCTATGTTTTATAAAGCTTTTTTATCTTTTAGAGATTACTTTTGAAATGTTTCTAATAAATTATATGGCAGCTGGGATTTACTACAAACTAAAGTATGAGAGAATGGATAGAGGAATGATGATAGAATATTGTCCATGTATCATGGTTTCTTTTTTTAAATTTTATGCTAATCATAATGTCCTAAAGCGGGGGGTGGGGGCATTGTGTACCAATGAAGGAGTTTTTATTTTGCTTTTCAAGGAGAGGAGCAAACTGGAGGTGGGGGTGGGGAGAAAAGTGCAACAATGAATGAATGGAATTCCAAAATCTTGGTAGATGTTCATTGAAATTAATAATATAAAAATAAAAAAAAGAAAAAAAAGAAAAATAACTCATGAAATACTATACAAAATGGTTGACCCTGCGGGACATTATGCTGAGTGAAATATCTCGGTCACAAAAGGACAAATACTGCATAGTGCCACTGTTTTAAGACAAGACTGACATCGGGGTTGAGGCAAGACTGAGAAAGAGGGATATAGAATGTATACTACATTGAAACAGATGAGGGAGAGAACAGTTTAAAAGGGATATATTATTAGGTATTATTGTCATGACAGGAGTCCAGAATGAAGGCTGCCCAGTGGACTGGACTTAGGGGGATGAATTGTGTAACAATGAAAATTTTTTTCTTCTACCTTTCAAAGAAAAGAGTGAATTGGGGGAATGGGGAGGTGGGCAGGAAGCAAAGTGCAACAGTGAATGAATGGAATCCATAAGTATCTGTAAACTTTCATTAAAATTAATTAAAATATTTTAAGAAAAGTGAAAAAAATTTAGACACACCTCATTTTATTGCACTTCTCAGATAAGGTATTTTTTATACTAGTTTATTTACAAAATTATAATATATTGTTTTTCAGACCAGATTCTTCCACGTTCCCTCACCCCCCATCAATTGTACAACCCCATGATTAATCATCTTCACCCAACCCCCACATACACACATCCTCATTCCTCTGTTTCCACCCTACCTCCCCTTGGATCCTCATAGTCTATAATAATGGTTTTATACAGTATTTTTCCTTGTGGGACTGAGTTAGTTCACTCTGCATAATGCTCCCCAGTCCCTCCCAAGGTAGGTAATGAAATAATTTACAGAGGTATTAAAATTATTAATTAGAAGTGATGATAGGATATTGTCCATGTGTCATGGTTTCTTGTGGCTTCCATAAGATACCATTAGTTGAATAACTTTAAGGAATAGAAATATATTTTTCTCACAGTTATTAAGACTAGAAGTTCAAATAAGGGTCTTAGCAGTGTTGATTAATTCTGGTATCCTGAGAGAGTAATCCTACCATGTCCCTATCTCATAGTTCTAGTGGATACAAGCAATTTCTTTGCTACTTATAGACACTTCTACTTTCCTCATCATGCAGGATTTCTTTTCCCTCTTATATAACTGTACTTCTGTGTCTATTCTCTTCTTTCATACAGAGAACTTTCAGAAATACAAGCTGGATTTAGAAGAGTCTGTGGCACTTGGGACATCATTGCCAATGTCAGATGGGCCTTGGCTGAAAGCAGAGAGTACCAGAAGGATGTCTATTTGTGTTTTATCGATTATGCAAAGGCAGTTGACCATGTGGATCACAACAAATTAGGGCTAACATTGAGAAGAATGGGAATCCTAGAACACTTGATTGTGGTCATGTGAAACCTATACCTAGACCAAGAAGCAGTTGTCCAGAGAAGGGGAACACTGCCTGGTTCAAAATCAAGAAAGGAGTGTGTCAGGGATATATCCATTCTCCATATCTTTTAAGTCTACGAGCTGAACAGATCATTCAAGACGCTGGAATTTATGAAGACAAATGTGGTATCAGACTCAGAAGAAGATTCATCAAAAACTTGCATGATGCGAATGACACAACATTGCTTGCCAAAAGTGAAGAGGGCTTGAAGTATTTGTTGCAAAAGATCAAGGATTGTAGCCTTCAATATGGATGGCATTTAAACATTGAAAATACAGGGTAATAATAGGCACAGATCAATAGCAACTATATAATATACACTGTATATGAATGATTGTATAAAACACCATGTACCTGAAACACATGTACATGAAAGAGTGCATAAATCACAATGACATTCATGAAACACAATGTATATATAAATGTATGCAAACCAAGTGGAAAAAAAAATATGAGGAAAAAAATTCTTCACCACCAGGCCAATAGTTGGTGTCATAATATCTGGTGAAATAACTGAAGTTGATGATTTCATCTAACTTGGATCCACAATCAGTATCCTTGGCACCAGCATCCAGGAAATCAAAAGATGAGTTGCACTAGGATAATCTGCTTTCAAGAACCCCTCTAAAGTGCTAAAGAGCAATGACATCAACCTCAAGATTAAGGTGCACCTGATTCAAGCAATGGTCTTCACAATTGCTTGCTAAGCATCTGAAAGCTGGACAATGACTAAGGATGACACAAGCTGCGGTGCTTGAGAAGAACCTTGAACATTCCAGGGACTGCCAAAACAACAAACAGGTCTGTCCTAGACAAAGTGAAACCAAGGTGCTCCTTGGAGGTAAGGATAGTGAAACTCTGTCTCACATACTTTGGGCATGTTGTCAGCAGGGACCAGTCCTTGGAGAAGGTCATCATGCTTGGGAGGGTAGGTTAGTGCAAGAGAGGAAGATGCTCTTGGCAGGTGTGTCAGAGAAGGTGAGGTTAGCTCAAGGTAGAGCAAGGTTTTGAACTATTGTTCATAGGGTCAGAGTTGTAGTCTACTCAATGGCACATAATAACAACAACACAAGAAGTGGTTAGGATTAGGACTCATCCTACTCTATTACCATGCTTAGTCAAAAATAAAAGGAAAACAATTTTCTAAACAAGGTCACATTCTTAGGTATAGGGGTGAGCACTCCAACATACCTGTTATGATGAACACAATTCAATCATTACTGAAGCTAGGTAATGACAATACATTGCTATTCCTATTTTCTATTAGTTTGAAATATTACTTAATTTAAGACTTAAGTTAAAGATAAATAGTACCAACTTTAAGATGTCACGGAAGCTTTGAGTTCAGGATTGAAGGAAAGTATAATGTTTACAATTATGTCAAAATACATCACCGAGGATGGCCACATAGTGATCTAGAGCCATGGCATTTCATACGTTGTTTCAGTCACCCCTGCTTCTCATCTCCCTATAACCAATTGTGCACAAAATCTTCTCACTCTTGTTTTCTAATATCCAACCTGGTCCTTAGGTGCGAGCATCATGAGTCCACTCTCCCCTGGGCAAGTAGTCTGCGGAGAGCGCCCTGGACATCCTTATTGCGAAGGCTGTACACAAATGGATTGGCCAAGGGTGTGATGGCTGTGTACATCACTGAAGCCACCATGTCTTGGGCCTGAGAATTCTGGGAAGGAGGCTGGAAATAGACCCAAATGATAGTACCATAGAGGAAGCCGACCATAGTGAGATGGGACCCACAGGTAGAGACAGCACGTCGACGACCGGTAGCTGATGGCAAACGTAGAACGGTGGTCCCAATGCGGATGTAGGAGAGCACAATGAGTGAACAGGGGCCCAGCATTAAGAATCCACCTTCCAAGAATATGGCTAGCTCATTGGAATGTGTGTCTGAGCAAGAGGCTCGCAGAAGTGGTCGGTGGTCACAGAAAAAGTGAGGAAGGTTAACATTGCCCTCCTCATCCCCAGCCCAGCGGAGGGGCAGAAGAAGTCCCACATGTAGCATAGTGTGCAATACGGATACTACCCAACTAAAGGCCAGTAAGCGGGCACAGAGTTGCCGATTCATCACCAAAGCATAATGCAGAGGATCACAGATGGCAACATATCGATCTAGAGCCATGACAGCTATGATGAGTGTGTCTGTAACTCCAAATACATAGAAGAAGAAGAACTGGGCCAAGCAGCGGGCAGCGGGAATGGCTGGGTGATCAGAGACCAGATCGGACAGTAACTGAGGCAGGATGACCGTGGACAGCCCCATATCTATCATGGACAGACCACGGAGCAGATAGTACATAGGGGACTGGAGCCTGGAATCCCGGGAGATGAGCAGCACCAAAGTGACATTACCCATAACGGTGGTCAGGTAAATAGTCAGGAACAGAAGAAAGAGGAGACTGGGGGGAACTCTAGCTCTGGAGAGTCCAAGGAGGAGGAACACTGGAGAATGTGAAGCATTAGGGGCACAGCCCATGACGAGTGACAATGAGCCTGTCTGGAAAAAGTCCGAGTCAAAAATAAGGCATATATCATAGCTTTTATTGATTTTATTTAATTCAACTATAGTTTGCAATTTCCTTGAACACTTGAAGTCACTTCTGAGCCAGTTATACCCTTCTTCCAAGTCGAGTATTTCACTCCCTGGATTTATTTTATAACTTTCTATACACCCCCTTTTGTTCATTCTAGTGATTCCTTACATATAATTCACAAGCTTGCTAAAGTCACTGTACACGAAGGAGTAAAATCGGTAAACCCCACTCTCATTGCCAACCACATTATAAAAATCAGTCTGTAACTTCCTGCCTCTGTGGGTTCTATGACAGAGCAAGTCACAGAATCTCACAGCGAATATACCATACTTACAACTATAAATTTATTATGACCAAAAAGAGACACAAATACAAGGGTACATGGGGAGATCTTGGAGGGATGCCAGAATGAATCTGCCATGTTCGAAAAAGTTACACACTTCCTACCCTGTGCATGATCTCAGAGTCAAGTTTAAGGGCTCTTAGTCTCCCAAAACACCCATGACACATTAGCCTCAGATGTGATTTAGGACTCCAAAAGAGAGGCTAAATTGCACAGTGATTCCACACTTTCACCTTTTCATGAGAGAAAAAACTTTATTCAACCTTATCTTCTCATTGAACTACTTGCTTTATCTTCTTTCAAAGGCAACAATCACAAATGAGTCATCTGTACTCACAGTTTCTACTCCTCACATCTCAACCTGGTTTTCATCTGTGAACCTTTACAGAATCTAAAAAAAAAAAAAAAAGAAGAAAGAAAAATTCAAACACATAACATATAAATAGTTCTTTTTAAGTACGTGAATGTTTTTTAATATGAACTTTATTTCATCCACATACTGTTTTCTATTGTCTTCTCCTTGAAAGAGTCTTTGTTACTGCTTTGTTTGTTTTAACCTACTTATTACAACATATGCTATTCACCTCTGACTATCTTTGTTTCCTCTTTCCCCTCCCACAACCATGTTCCTTGTGCTATTTAATTATTTTGGAACAATCAATTATTATTTACTAAAAAAGAATTCTTTTTTATTATAATTGATGAATATAAAAATGATTGTTATATTGGAACTTTCAACACATATGCCCAGGAGTATTTTAAGTTCATTCTTAAGCACTTGGATTTTGTAGTTAAAATATGTCTGTTTGTTTCTGAATTACTTGTTTGGTCTTTTTTATTTATTTTGGTTGATGACCAGCATTTTTATTCCCCGATTGCCTAAGCACAAATCTGGTAAAACCCTCCTCTCATACTACCACATCCAATGACACTTTTCTTTTCATCCTTTTTTCTTTTCCACATCTTTGTATTCCATTCAGCATCTATGACAAATATTAATTTAAGTTGCCTCCTTATTAACTTCTCAACCTAGCACTGATGTTAGGATTAAACTTTCAGTAAGTGACTACATTTTAAAATTGCAAAGTCTTCAGGATAAACTCTAAAGAGTTTGTCTGATCTGCTAACTCTTTTATTTAGCAGTTCCTGAACTACCTTATCATGCTATGTGATCTGCCCAGTGACATTGCTGTTCACCTTCAAATGTCTCATTGAGAACTTCAGCTCTCTTAAATATGAAGTTCCTAAATAACACAAATATAATAAATAACACAAAAATAACTCTCGTACAGATGGGAGTTTGATAAAATAGAATGTTGTTTAGTTAGTTAATTAAATTGGCTATTCCTTAAAAATTCATGGCCGAGCTTTCAAAAATGTAAGGAAAATACATAAATGGATTCAAAGCTCAAACTCACTGCTGTATAGTTGGAGCCAATGACTCTCCAATGCATTTTCAGAGGCTATAAATTGTACAGGAGGAGATCGCCCATCTTTCTTCAGAGCAGCCAATGGATTTGAACAGTCTTTGGTTGGCAGCACAACTCCCTGCCTATTAGGTCATCAGATCTCCCTATAAAATCAAAGAACTAAAAGTCAAAGATTTAAACAGTTTATAATGGTGGATATAGTCACAGATGATTGGAAAGTACAGGTTATCTGTCTTCAGAGTCCAGAGCCTTGAATGCTAACACCCACCTGGGGACAGAAAATGAAGGTTTAGGATTATATGATGTAGGAAGTTAGAGATTACCACATGCATTCAAGGTATTAGAAAGATTTAAATAAGGGGAGCTCTGGTGGCCTAGTGGCAAGAAGCTGCACTGCAATCCCAGAGGAACATGGTTCGAATCCACCAGATGCTCTGCCGGAGAAGGAGGCGCAATATCCTCCTGTACCAGTCAGATCTGATTTGACGGTACACGCACACAAAAATTAAAAAAAAAAAATTTAAAAAAAAAAAAAGAAAGATTTAAATAATCTGTGAAAAGTTAAAGGAAATTGGGGAGTGGGGAAAGATAAAGACTTATTAGCTATTTGAGACCCAAAGGACACTCAAACTTGGACTATGTAAGAGTTAAAATATCTTCTGTGGGATGGAAATTATTCATTCATACCACTCAAAGGGAGCTCCAGTGGTTTAGTGGTATGTACGTGTGCTGCCAACCCAAACGCATGTGGTTCAAATCCGCCAACAGATCTGTGGAAGAAAGATGCCTCTGAAAACCTGCTGGAGGATCAGCTATGAGTCAGTTCCACCTTAATAGTATATATATGACAGAACATCATTCCATGTATGTAGTTGGAATGCTGATTTGCAAAAACTTTATGACCATCATACTGAAAATTTAACATAGAAGTCATTATCAGATACTAAGATTCCCTTGGAACTTTAATGACACAGATATAAAAATTGTCCTGCACATTTAATCTCAGTCCAGACTGTACAGAAGGCCCACAAATAAAAACCTACTGAAAATGAGTTTACAATTCAAAATTTTAAAATACAAAAAAACTATTCCTTATGAAGACAATAAGTAATCAACAAATGATAGGATTAATCCCCTCCACCAACATTATAGAAGTGCACATAAAAAATTCATACTTTAGCATATTTGAGTTATCTTGTGATGGAATAAAATAATTGAAAGCATAATATTATAAAAATATTATTGTTGTGTTGTTATGTGCTGTCGAGTAGTTTGCGACTCATAGCGACCCTATGTACAAAAGCCCTAAACCCTGCTTTATCCTGTACCAATCGCATTGCCTCTGACAAACCCATCCCGATTACCCTAGTCACTGAATCAATCCACCTCATAGAGGGTCTTCCCCTCCTG